TGAGGCAAACAATTTAATGACAAAATGTAAATAGTATGAACAAATTCTATATTATAGAAGATATGCAAATGAAATAAGAATGAAAAGTTGCTCAATTTTATTAGCTATTGCAAATTACAACCTCAATGAATACCATCATGTAGCAAATTACAACCTCAATGAATATTATCATGGAGGAAATGCAAATTACAACCTCAATGAATACCATCATGTAGTCACTAGGATGGCTAAAACTTAAAATGACTGAATATATCAAGTGTGGGTGAAGATATAGAGGATATGGAACTACATACACTGCTGGTGAGAATATAAAATGGACACATGGAACAGACACATGGAAAAATAGTTTAGCAATTTCTTAAAAAGTTAAACATTACTCAACAATGAAAAGATAGTTTTATTGGTAGACCCAGCAATTTGGATGAATCTGTAATGCTTTACATTGGGTTGACAGAAGTCAATTTCCAAATATACAGACAGTAATAATTCTACCTAAATGGCATTATCAAAAAGATTAAAGTACAGTGATGGTGAACAAATCAGCGGTTGATTAAGAATTGGAATTTGGGTAAGGAAAACACAAATGTGCTATTTGATCATACAAACATTTTTAAACCTAATTGTGTTGGAGATTACACAAACTTATAAATAACTAGAAATTTAGAGAGTTGAACCTCCACCCAAAAGTAACTAAGACATTTAGACATACACATATCATATAATCTAACCATTTTGTTCCTAGATATTTACCCATGAAAAATGAAAGCATACATTAATTCAGAGATATGTACAAGAATGTTGATAGCAGCTTTATTTGTAAATAAACGCAACTCTAACATCCATCAGCATGTGAATAAATAAATTATCACAAATACATACAATAAAATAATACTCAAAGAGTAAAAATTAGTGAATTATTGATATACAAAACAACATGGGTCTCAAAGTCATTATGCTAAGTGAAAGAAGTCAAACACAATATGCCCTTCATCAAAAGAGTACCTGTTGCATAAATAATTCCATTTTGCTTTTGTAGAAAAATAAAAAATCATCTATAGTGACAGAAAGCGATGGATGGTTGCAAGACGTGAGGGATATAGATAGGGAGAGGAGAGATAATAGAGTTATGAAGAAACTTTGGTATTGATGGATAGGATCATTATCGTAATTATATTAGTGCTATCTTGATCAACACAAAATTACACATCTTAAACACACAAAGTTTATAATGTACCAATTTTATCTAAAACCTCCAGAAGAATTATAATATCCAAAATTATAAACTTTTCACTAAGGCGTTAATTTAAGTTGTCATTTTTTCCACAAAATTACAAAAGTGCAAATGTAGAATACTTCTAGTATACATAACAATAGAGGTTTTGACACCACTAATTCTGATAACATAATAGATATAATTTTGAAATTCATTATGCTATTTATATTTTTGGTAGTAGAAGATATAGTATCCTAGCCTCCTCCAAAGATGACAAATAATGTGTTTTTTAACACTGTCATGGACTTATGAATTTAAATATACTTGATGTGCTCAGGTTTTTACAGGTTTATCCTTATTAATGCTCAAATTTTCCCAACTTTAGACAAAGCGAAACAAAACAAAACTATTCCTTTGGCTTAAGAAAATTTGAAAATATTAATCTAATACAGTTTAGTAATACTGGATATCTTTCTTGCTATTGACTGTGACCAGGTATTTCATAGTTATGTTGTTGATTTCCTGTCCTGGACCTGGATTAATTATTTTTTCAGAAATTTAATTGCTTTTAGTGGTCAAGGTATTTCCAAACAACATTCTTCCCATTAAAGTTGTTCATTGCTTGTAAGTTGACCATTTTAGTTCTTTGTTTCAGCATTCAGTGCTATGTTGTGCATATTTTCTTAAGATAAATTACAACCTGAATTTAAACTCCACTGCCAATTCAAAAATCAAAACTTAAAGTGCTTTATTTAACTTGTTTAATTTTACATTTGGATCTCCTTACTTCCCTTTACCAAGAATTCAGTTTTCAAAACTGAGAATAATAGAATTGACATACCACATAATTCTGTACACAATTAATTCATTGTCTAATACTGCCACAACTATCTTAGTATAATAACATCAACGCTACCACCAAGTTTAATTTTTTTGTTTCTTATGATTTTTATTGTTCTAAGGCAATATACTCTGAGGGTGTGATGTCTGGTTTCTATCTTTTAAAGTCTAGTGACTAGCACTTATAAAGTTTTATTATTTCTTATATATGAATGTCTTCTCCATTTGAAGTTTATTCTAATCTATTATACAAAGAATGGATAAAATTCCAAACTTTTCTGTATGACTTTGCTGTTAGAAGGGAAAACTCCTAAATTCCAACTGTAATTTTGACTATTTTAAAATTTTTCAGACTATTTTAATGGCATAAAATTGGGGAGGGGGGATTTCCCCCTCACTTAATGCCCAGGAAATTTTCCCTTCTTGTTTCAGAGTTGAGGTAGTTCTTTTCTGTTTTTGCTTATGTCACAAACTAAATTCACATTTAGACTGATTTATTTCATTTTTTGAGATTTTCTTAAATTTAAGTAGTTTTATAATAATATATAGCATTTATGTGGCTCTAAAACAAAAAAAGTGATAAAGTTAATGAAGTTTAACTCTAATCCCTATTCCCTCCACATATTCCTTGCTCCTTTTTCTCTTTCATATGTAACAATTTTATGTTATAATTTAGTTTTTATTTTTTAAAATATTCATATGTATTCCCTCTCATATATGTGTGTGTTCTTTTTCTTAAAACTTAAAATACTATCATGTTATGTTTTCCAAATCTCTGTTGTCATTTAATTTATCTTATAATAGTTTTATAGTAATGATAAAAATATCTATCATTCATCTTCACATTTGAATTATCATCTGTTTTAGGATGTATCATCATTTATTCAGCCAAACCACTATTGATGTATATTCAAGTGGCTATTTTAAAGATCCCAGAAGCAGGATTTCTGGGTCAAAGAGTAAATACTGATGATTTTGGCAGACCCTGCCCAATTCTTCTTTATAAGTTTTATAGCATCTTTTATTAACCTGACCCATGACCAAAAGTACCTGATTTTATGTCGCTCACCAAGACAGTATTGTGTCTGACTAGACCAGTTGATCAAGTCACAAGTCACAAATGGAATCTTAGTGTAATTTTAAGTATTGTTCTTTTTGTGTAGAGTGGTGAACACTTCTGTTTATAATCAAGAATCATTTTCCATTCTCTTTCAGTCAACTGTCTATTCATTCTCAACTACCAATCTTTTTTAATACATTACTGACCTTTTTTTCTTAGTTAATTGATAAATCCACATGTATTAGGTAAGTGTTCTAGGAACCATCTGCATCAGTGTATCACCTTGTGTTGTTGTGGGAGCCTGTTCGGTTTCAGTAATTTTTTTTTTTTTTTTTAAGATTCTTTCAAAGCCCATTTCTTTATGGGCGATGTACAGGCGCACCTGCCCACACCGGGCTGATCGTCCATCAGTTTTTGACCCAAAATGTCATGACCCATGTACACAACCATCCCTATTTACCTGAACTCTCCCTCTAGTGACTTTTTTGTTTGTTTTTTCCCGGGTGATAAAAGTCCTCAAAGGGGACTACTGATGTAAGAAAGACGAAACAAAAAATAGCAGAAGCACTAAAAGGTATAGAAATTGACAAGTTCTAAAACTGTTTTGAGCAGTGGAAAAAGCATCTCCACAGGTGTATTGCATCAGATAAAAAGTACTTTGAAGGTGACTGAAGTTTAAACATGTAAGGATAAATACAGAACTTTTTTTTTTTTTTTTATCAAGTCTGGGTTTTTTGTGGTTCCCCCTCATACATGACTATCTTTTCCATTTAAGATTTATTCTAGTATAGTACATGAAAAATGGATTAAATTCTATCATTTTCTGTATCTCTGTCATTAGAAGAGATAATTCCTTTATCACATATTAAATTTTATCTGTAATTTTGACTATTTCTAGATTTTTCAGTCTGTTATTAATGGCGTATTAATGGTATACATTTTTGTTTCTTGTTTTTTTTATATAAATTTTCATATAAATTTTTCTTGTCATATAAATTCAGGAGAATTTCCTTTCTTGTCTGAATTTAGGCAAAGGATTGGTAGCAAAAAAAGATAATAATTTTTGGGTATGTTTTACATCTGGCAGCCTAGATTTCAATGTGTGCTCTGTCTCCGATTGTGTCTTTGACTTGGATAAGTTATTTAATCTCTTAAATGTCTTCAGTTCCCATCTGTAAAATGGAAATGATTTAAAGAATTATTCATGATTTTGAATATAAATCATTTAACACATAGTAGGCTTCAATGATTGGATGTTATTTTACTCTTGTGGTTATTGTTTCTATGGATGTATATATTGTACAGGTCTATCATTTGATTTCTGGTTTTTTCACTTTGGAAAAATTAATGTTACAGTACACAAAGTAAGATAATGCAACTGAGAGAAATTTATTTAAGAAGAAATGTGTGTCAATGTGTTGAAAATATTTGCCTAGATGGAACAAAATATGTTCATACTAATTTTCAAGCATCTTGATATTTGGTACAAATTTCTAATTTTTATTTATTGCAAGATATGCTGAAAGACCATGCAGGATATCATGAAGATCTATGTGCCATTAAAATGCAATGTTATAATATGAAATTGGTTTTCTTTCCATTTAATATCTCTTTTTATGTTATGAAGTTTCAAATTAATTAAAGAGTTCTTTTAATTAAAAAAAATTGTAGAACCATCCAAACAAATATTTTTCATTTTCTTACTCAAATGCTAGTTAATTATATACCACATTTGTGTCTGCTTTCCATAGACTACATAAATTTGAAACTTAATTTACTAATGAAGTTGTAATTTTGTGTCTCAGTTAATGAAGGGAAATAGATGAAAGCAGATACACATGTTGCTTATTGTTTTCCATTATGTGCTGAAATATTGATGTCTTTCAGGGACTCCTGAGGATTATCCACGATTTTTCCACATGCATCCTAGGACTGCAGAACTTAGTCTCCTGGAGCCAGTAAACAGAGACTTTCACCAGAAATTTGATTTGGTTATTAAGGTAAATTAAACTAATGTCTTATTTCCTTGTGTTTATGAACTGCTAATCAAATAAATCTGTTGGGGCTCCTGTAGGTACTTTTATGTTATAAAAATTTAAATTGCTGTGGATAACAATTAGCCAATTCTTTGTTAAAAGAACCATATAAAATACAATTTGAATACATTGTATTGCTTTTCTTTTAAAAAAGGCTTTTATAGTACTATGTGATAAAAATAATAAATATGTTTATTTATAATAAATGAACTAGTCAAATGTATATTTAATTCCACATAATTCATTACATTCTCTTTCATTTGTTTTTCTACTCAAAGAAATTAGTTTTTGACCACAAAAGCATATCTAATAAACGTATCTAAAACATACTTGATTTATATTTTTTATTTTAACTATTATTTATTTTCTCTGAATTATTATTTTTTTATTTTAATGTATTTTTTTAAAGTTGCTGGTTTTTCTAACATAAAAATGAACAGTCTTACTTATCCAGAAATCTTTCAATGTACGTCTCCTTATTTTCTTTATGTTGAGAGATGACCTTAGCCATGAAAAACTTAAGTCAGGGTTAATTTATTTGGCATTACAATTTTGATAATAATATCTAATATATTTTAATGAAATCATGTAAGAGATCCTGTAGAGATCCAGACAATCCTTTAATGAATTCTGACGAAATTCATGATAAAGTGATGTTTAAGCTGGGCAGTGAAATAAAAGTAGGAAAACGGCTAAGCAGAGTTGGGCGCAGGGAGAACATTATTAGTTAAAAAAAAAAAGCAAAGATAGCATAGGTTTAGTATGTAGTACATAATTTTTCCCATAGTTAAGTTTACAAAAGAAAATTCTCTAGAAATGTAATCTTATGGTATTTTTTTTACTTTTGTAAAATTTAAATTATTAAAAGGGAAGTAAGGTAAAGAAGCTTACTGAGCATGAACATTATGCAAGTGACTTTATGTATATCTTCCACTGAATTTTTGCCACAACCTTAGTAGTGTCCTCATTTGCACAAAATGTAGAACCTAAAACTCAGATAAAATAAGTGATTAGCTTAGCATCACATTACTAATAAGGGGCAGAATTGTCATGCAAATTTTGTTTTACCAACGTTAAAGTCATGCTCTTTTCTCTCTTTTTTTTTTTTTTTTTTTGAGTTGGAGTCTCACTCTGTCACTCAAACTGGAGTGCAGTGGCTGCTCCCGGCCACCGCAGCCTCAACCTGCTGGGCTCTGGTGATCCTTCCGCCTCAACCTTCCAAGTAGCCGGAATTACAGGCATGCGCTACCACGCCCGGCTGATGTTTTGATTTATTGTAGAGATGAGGTCTCGCTGCCCAGGCGGGTCTCGAACCCTCGGCCTCAGGCAATCCACTCACCTCAGCCTCCCAAAGGCGCGGGATTACAGGCTGAGCCACTGAGCCTGGCTTGCTCTTCTCTCTTTACAGATATACAGTTTCTTAGAAGGGCTGTCTGGTTTAACTTTCAAGAAGTCCAATTGCAAACAATGTTATGCACACATGCATTTAATTTGAGCATAAATTAGGAGTTATGTTTTTCGCATCAATTATAGTGTACAAGCCACAACCTGTGTTTATTTAGTGGTCCTTTGTTTTTGAAAAATTTATAGTCTAGAAGGGGAAATAATAAAATAAGCAGATGCAGGAAATATAACCCAAATAGCAAAAGGAAAAATGTAAAAAGTGCTAACAACGCATAGAATAGGGGCCTTTAAATTAATCTGGAGATTCAGGGAAGATTTGTGGGAGATTACCTGAAGCTAATTGTGGCTGAATCGAAAGGGTCTGGCCAATGAATAAAAAGGAAAAATATGTTTGAACATAAGGAAGAACAGAAGTAAAAGCTTGGAGGCATAAAGTAGCAGGCTACAAGCTGTTAACAGGGAAATGAGGTATAGAGCCAGACCACAGAGAAAGCCTGATGGATGGTTCTGGCTTCCTTGGATTTCATTCAGTAAAGGTTTGGAGTTATTCAGCAAAGAAACACTACTTTTACCACATATATTAATGGTCATGCATGAGAGTCATCTTCTTGCTTTGACTATTTTAATTATCATGAAACAATATAGAACTCCAAAATGCATATTGATTGCCTATGTGTCTCTACCTGGAGTCCTGTGGTACATCTCTGTGTGGGAGTTAAGATGCTGGACAAAGCACTGTTTTCAAACTGCCTCATAGGAAACCAGAAACCAATTTTTTTCCTGTATTATTAAATTCAACTGTCCTGATGTACTTGGGTACAGTGTAACTCAGTCCATCAATTATAAAAAAAAAAAAAAAATCAATTAGAACAGATCAGAGAATTTTTGTTTTAATAACACATTCTATTATTAATTTACGTTTCTATAGACATTATTAGATTCAAATTACTGTGTTTTGTGTGCAGTCAAGGGGATAATAAGCAAAGGTATTAATCTGTAAGAATAATAATGTGCTACCTGCTTGAATAATAGCTGAGTGTTGTGGGATTGTTCAGGGGACAATTGAAATGCTACAATCTGGCAGTTTTCCTCGGTAATAGTAAGTCTTTCAACTTCTTCCCTTTTTAGTTTTAATAATGCTTCATTTTTTTTTTTCCTTTGGCCATAAAAGTTTTTTTGGAATTGGTTCCAATTTCTGTTTCGGAAGCTAAAAAAAAAAATGAAGTATTTTCCCCTAGACTTTGAAGAATTCAGCTTTTAACAACACTTAATAGCTGACAAGTGCCACAAATTAGAGATGTATCATCTTTTTTTTTTTTTTTTCCCGAGTTGGAGTCTCACTCAGTCACCCAGACTGGAGTACAGTGGCTACTCCCGGTCACTGCAGCCTTGACCTGCTGGGCTCCGGTGATCTTTCCTCCTCAGCCTTCCAAGTAGCCGGAATTACAGGCGCGCGCTACCACGCCTGGCTGATTTTTTGGTTTATTGTAGAGATGAGGTCTTGCTGCCCAGGCGGGTCTTGAACCCGCGGGCTCAGACAATCCACTCACCTCAGCCTCCCAAAGGCGTGGGATTACAGACTGAGCCACTGAGCCCGGCTGCATCTTTTTATTCTTTGTATTTTTGCCAATAATTTATTCACGATGCTGACAAATAAATATGCAAAGGTGAAACTAAGACAAAAAATAGATTAACACACAAACTTTAGAACATGGAAGGATTAAAACATATGCAATTGAAAAAAATAAGTTCCATTTCCAAACAATATTTTAAAAAAACATTGTAATCATTTAAGCATATTTTAAAATATGATAAGCATTATGAACAAAAATCATACATTTAGTTTACCCAAAACTGTTTATGCTTATGCCTTATGTCTTTGTATAATTATTTGTAACACTTCTAAAATGTCCCAGTTTTTTGTTATTTGATCACTAACCTCATTAAGCAAAAATCACATATGGTATAAAAATATGAAAGTACATTTAGATGCCAGATGATAGGGAACTAGTTCATGTAGGATGTGTCTATAACAAAGCCCAGAAAATTCACTTTCGTTATAAGTACAGTATTTTTTAAAGTGTATGAGTTGATATATTTACACTTCAGGCATCTAATATAAAGCTACTAGCCTTTAATTATTGAAACTGATTAAATGAGTAAATTATCAATAACTCACTGTCTCTCCATCCTTCAAAGAATAACTGCAATTTTAAATCCAAATCCCTTTGATTAACAACTGCATGCAAGGATCGCAATGAAATCACAAATATCATTTTATCAGTCCCTCAGATATTTGTGTAGTTATTCATGACCTACTTATACTGTCTAGTAGGCTGACCTTTACCTTCTAAGTCATGAACATATTAACCCAGGACTCGCACCAGTTACCTTACATACTCTCTGTTCCAGTCGCATTAAACTACTTGCAGCGTACTAAACTCATCATGCTCTTTCTGATATCCAGGCATTTAGAGATGCAGTTCCTCTTCCTGAATCATTCTTCCCTTTTCTTGTCAACAGCCTAATTTAAATTGATGCTTCAGTTTTCAGCTTAAAAGATACTTGCCCTGGGTTAGAAGCACTCCTTACAGTTTATTTGTCCCTATAGTGGCCCTAATTAAGCTATATTGAATTTGCTTGCTTGTTTTCTCCTGACATTTACAGAAGGGCAGATTGTAATATATTTCTTTACATTGTATTCTGTGCCCCTAACCCTCCCTATATGCAATACAGAGAAGGTGCTCATTAAACATTTGTTGTGATAATTCTCTTTCTAGAAGAGTAAATCCTTTAAGACTGCTGAATTGGGGTACCAATATCTTTACTCTATTTAAATACAAATATTTGAATGTGTACGTACAGAAAAAAAGATGCAATTCAATTTTCAAATACATTCAACTCCTTGAAAAATGTTTGGATCTATGTTAAGGCACAACTAAAGCTATTTATGACTGCATTAAAAAAACTGTGCTTCTTCTACTAATATCAAGCTCACTGGTTTTAGGTTCCTGGCTCATTTTATATCTACATATATACATACATATATATATATATATATATAATTCTAGACATATTTCTTGTTTAATGTTCATGTCCTTATTTCCAATTATTGACTTGATAACTACTCCTAGTATTATGCCATTGCATCAATTAAGAAAGTAGCAAATTATACACATCCTTTTAAAATCTCAAGTCTTCTACTTTAATTCTCTCTTTGAATTAAACATATTGCAATTGACCAGTCACTCACACTAGGCACTTTCAACTCCTCATGGTGACTAGTGTCCCCATCTAGTCACGTATAAAATCCCATCCAGGTACCGTTGGAGTTTCTCTTATATATCTACCCAACTCTCCACACCCCCTGGAACTCTGTAGTTCACATTCTCATGGTCCATCATCTTACACAAACAAACTCTTAAACCTTAGCTTTGTTTCCATGTATCATATTCATCATACTACATTGCTAATACAGTATTGCGAATAAAATAACAACAACAAGAATAGATCATGCTGCTGCATATTACCTTTAAGCTAATTTAAGTTTGCCCCCTACA